AAAAAAAAGCTCGACATATATGAAAACTTTGGATGTGATTCTCAAAAATAAGAACTGAGCATAGCAAAGCGACAACTTATGTGAGCGAAAATAGAACATATGATAGCTAGAAAGTTAAAAAAGGCAACTAAAATGGAAAATGGCAGTACCTTTACTGCTCAAATCGTTTATATTCCATGCAATCTGGGGGCCTGACTTCCGTTCGTTTCTTGCTTATCTCAGCCCAGTTTGTAGATAGCACCGTACCGCCAGATTCCCTATAAAATACTAAGTAATAAGTAGCAAAGTGGTATAATCCACAAAAAAACTTACTGATAACTTTTGATCATGGCCCTCTTTACATCGTCTGACGCTTCATTGTACAATTTTCTAAACATGCGATTCACAGCTGCATCACCTTCTAATTGCTCATTCTCTTCTTCTTCGACAGCTTTCTAGTGAGAAAAAGCTTTCACTTTAAATTTGTAAAGAATAGAAAAAGAACTACGAACCCTCTCAATGGCCTCCCAGTCCTTAGATGGATGGTAGGTTTCGGCAGTAGTGGGAACCGCGGAAGAGGCACCAAGCATAGGCCAGTGGCCAGCACTGGCTTTTGGCATTCGCACCTCAACCTGAAGGTAGAAAATTGATTGTAATAAAGACGAACAACCCCTATCTGATTTAAAAGTTCATGTTCAAGTTCTCTTATCATCTTTGTGATGACATGATTCTTCATCGAAGCAAAATTCATAGACAGAAAAAATTGGAAAATGGATTACAGCTCGTCATCTCGCAGAAGGTCTAGAGGATGGATACATTTTATATAATAATCTTAAATGGACCTAAAAAACCTTTAGACCGGAAATCCATTGAATTTCTCAACTTTCTCAGAAAGTAAATGGTATTTTGATAGGATTACTTATGCTTAGCATAAAGGTGATAACTTTGGACGATGATCCAAGAAATAAATCTCAACATGGATGAAGTTAGACAAGGAAAAATTGTGAAAAGAGGTTGGATCATTACCAGATTCAAATTTAATGAGCTGAAGACGATGCTCATAAAATCTTCACAAATTTATATGTCATGACAGAATGGAGAGACGCCTAGTTCGACTCCAACGGATCAGCATTATCGCGTTGTTTTAGGCACTGCGTGTGAGAGCCAAGATACATGATCCACACGCTAACACTCGGCCTTTTGTAGTCATCATTTCCACAGGAATCGAACCAGGGCTGGTCTGATGGCAGATCTCTAACCAGACCACTTGACTAGGCATTCCAACACTAGCGTCTCAAAGGTCAACACATACAGCTGTAACCTAGGGTGTATGACTTTATGAACGATAGCTCTAATTGACAGCTGTGGTGGGCGCAATGCGCCTAACTTCTGCAAAGCTTACTGTGTTTTTGATCTAACATTGTCATTTATTACTAAAATTGAGACC